ACACGAGTAAGTATTCTACCGAGGAAATGTCTAGTAGTAAGTTTAATTTGCAATGACAACTCTTTGATTAAGCTGAAAAGCAGTCAGATAGTGAGTAACCTGTTGGCCAAGTTTAACACCTTTTCCGATGTCATGAAGGTATTTGTAATCAAAGTGCGACTTGTATTGAAGTGCTTTGCTAATTATCATGCAGTTTCCTAAGGATATTCCTCGGCTGTGGCTCACAGAAGTTCAATATTGACATAACTAAAGCTCGACAACGAAAGTTCTCTGTTCATAAATTCTGTACTACTGGACAATGAAATGAATTATATCTATAGCAATTTAACTCTGATTGTTAATTTATTGTGATTATCACTCAAACAGATTTAAACTATTTCTGAAGTACTCACATCAAATCATTAAAAATGATACAAGTGCAAATATTACTTATTTTACTTTCCAACAGTACCATGTATGGGAAACACACTTGAAATACATTTATTTAATTTTAACATAATGCATGCGATTAATACATGTGTTGCGTTTGAGTTCGTGAACTCTTTTCGGGGGAAGGTACTTCGCCTTCTTCCACAGCTGAATAAAATACTGACATATTCGATTTTGTCGTACAGTTCTTATTTTATATAGATTGCCAGATGATACGAAAACATTTATTTTAAAATGGTTATTCTATTTATCATAGATAATATAAGAATTATTTTCGTTACTGGGAAATATCAGTTCATTAAATTCTGATACAAAAATTCAGTTGAAACTCATTCTTTACACCAAGCTAAAGAAAACCTTTAAATATTAAAAAAAAAAATCCTTGATCTGAGCCTATACATTGGAACTGCAAAATCACAAACATTTACAGAATAACAAAGCACGTTAATTGAACACTTTCAATAGCAGCCACAATCAACATAGTTAGCGTATACCATTAGAAGAGAAAATTATAATATAATCAAGAAGTTAACTTTACACACTATCAAAAACAAAAGGTTTGGATGGAAATCATCATCAGTATTAGAAGGAGCGCTAACAGTGGACTTGTGATACACATATTTGAGTAAACGCCCCATTTATTTAATTATTTATTTAATTATTTATTTATTTTTTAAACAGTTTATTTATTTTCGTCTACTGGTATGCATATTATAGAAATCCTATTAAAGATTAATTTCTACTTAAGAGCATTCAGAATTTGCAGTCCTCAATATTTACATGAAAAGGGTAAATATATTGAAAACACTTTCAAGCTTCTTCAGTACTAATTATTTTATATATCAATGCGAAACTAAAGAATCATAATATATTCCCAAACAAGGAAAAGCCCCATCCTGATAAACCCAATGAATCAAACAAATATATTGTCCTAGCAACTATACCACTAATTTGTTACTACTATATCTGAAAGAATAAAAGACTTAGTCACTACTAAGCGAAACAATAAGATTAAACTTGAAGGAGGAATTTACTCGATCACTTGTAATAATTGTCACAAGAATACATAGTAGAAACCTCAGGGAATCTGACTAAAAGATTATATGAACACAAAAGGGAAATTTGAATAAAACAGTACATTAAATGCATTAGTTGCTCATCGTAACGAGACAGACAACAATTTTGACATAAAAAATGCTACTGATGATGAAAGGAGAAAACAATTCACTATGACGAAAATGACTAGGGAGTTCTTTGATCGCAAGATCGTCTGCAGTAAATGTGCTCCATGGTTCTTACAACACTTCACCATACTTGGCAGATTTTCTATTGTCACAAATATCTACTAACAAAAGTGATGTAAACAAAAAGAAAGAATCTAGAAATCGGCTAGATTATATATATATATATATATATATATATATATATATATATATATATATATATATATATTATATTATATTATATTAGGCAGCATATATTTTATATTATAAAGAGATAATCATACATTGAATCAATTAGTAATATTAATGCAATTAATGGCGAATTCTCACTTGAAATATTTGAATTTTAGCGTTGCGTTCCAATATTATATAAACGTTAAAAAATAACACATTCTTAAAAAAAAATTCTTCGGTCTAAAATACATTTATTTCGTTTCTGAGTTTTATTTTTAAAGGAAAAAAATTACAGCCTGATGATGAGATGAAGTTTTCGAAAGTACTTGCTGCTCTAAAAATACACCAAATCCAACTGACAATAAGGATCTCATCATTCAGTGGAATATTAGTAGGTTAATGCTTACAATAAGTCCGCTAGCGAAGAGAATTCGCCATTAATTGCATTAATATTACTAATTGATTCAATGTCTGATTATCTCTTTATATATATATATATATATATATATATATATATATATATATATATATTAGGCGATCAGCCGATTCCGCTACCTTGGATTCAATCTTTCGGTGGTATCTTCAGTCAATTGATTTCCTAACGCTTTATTTTTTTTTTAATTAATGAACGCTTTATTATTTAAAAAAATAAGTTATTATTAATAAGGTTTTGTTTTATATTATTAATTATTATTATTAACAAGAGTTTGTTTTATATTTTTTAGTTCGCTGTAGAAAATCTGTTTTGTGGATGAATTAATGAATAATAATGTTTTGTGGATGAACACAGTCATTTTGATTTTAAAATGATGAACACTACAATATTTGTTTTGAAAAAAGAACACCTTGATGATAACATTGTGCTAATGTCGAAAGTACTCGGAATAAATAATATGTATCAACACGGTAATTTTCTCTCTTCCTTTAATAATGACACCAAAAGGCTTGTCCACGGAAGTGAAAGGATCCAACTGAAAATAAGTAGACAAAACTTGACTAAATTATTAATTTATACGCAATACATACATATGCTCTAATTTTGTATCGAGGACTATTTTTTAAAAATAATAACAAAAATACTTAAGAAGTTTGGATTATTTACCTAACGAGTTCTTTCCTATTTTCTATATATTTTTACACATACACACACATATATTTATAACATTATTTAATTTAAAACATTTTATGTTTATACATTCTTTTTATAGATACAATTATTTAAGTAAATGCTCTGTTTATAATAAACAGTATTAAATAACACTTACCGGCCTGAATGTCCGAGAAATTTTCACATAAAATATTCGTCCTCCGACAGGATTCGATCATGTATCCTATATGGAACCCTTCATTTAGCTTGACGTGCCTTTACCGATTTGGCTACAGAGGTGCATTCGGTCAGCAAGGTCGAATTTACTGTATTTGAACTTCAATCTTCTATGAATCTTACACGTACATTCATATCTGGTCATGGCGTATCAAATGTAAACAAATGACAGCACACATTATGAAATGGACGAAATCCGACAATTATTTTAAGACAATAATAAAATAATTGTTGGACTTTGTCTATTTCATAATAAAAGGAATATTGCTGACATTGGTCAGGAGTTGCTCAATCATCGCTTTCTGACTATAATAGAGATCAAAATAATTTTTGTTTTTCTGAGGAGGTGGGGGAAATTATTCTACACTCTGCAGCGTCTTTCCAAGAGAACCAACATTGTAAATTCTATCGCTATGCTATTGATATTTCCGTGGCAAATATTCAGACGAGAACCATTCTTTTGTTAGGCCAGTTAAGCCCTTTGCAGTTATGACACGACGTGCTACTTCCACATAATCAAACTACACTCATTTCCCCCGTGTTCCAAAGGTAAGAAGAAATATCTACTGATGCAGCTTCCGCCACAAGAACTGCAAATTTGTGGAACAGACTCCCGCGTGAATGGTTTCTTGAACACTACGAATCTTAACCTCTTCAAATCAAGAGTAGCCATCCTTATTCTTATAATCTTAAATTTCCTATTACCTCCTCTTTCATCCGTATCACATACTTCAGCCATCATAAACATTTTAACACTAACGCTCTATGTGGGTGGCTCTTGAGTCTTGTATTATATGAACTTTAGTATAAAAAATGAACGCGTGAACTTTCTTTCCCTATGATTCTCTCTATTCTTCCATTTTCAAATAAATAGAATATTCAGGCGTGTCTCGCTCCGCCGACATTCTCTTAACACCATCGTTGTTTCATTCCTTGCTGACATCCATACAGCGAATTGATGGCGTCGTTTCTCAAACAGCTAACCCAATTTCACCGCCCTTCTCAAGTCCCCTGGGTAAAGGTGAGGCACGCCACAGCCGTCGTCATCTCCGCCCATAACCTTTCGGCCATACATCAGCGATTCGCTTATTGTATCTGGCGGTCGGTGACTACCGTACGTCCACGACAATTCTTAACCGATGTCGGCCTTTTCTCACGTGTCACTCACAGCACAGGCCACGCGCGTAGATTACACAGTTTTCTCTTTTAGATCTCGCTTTTGTTTTGAAAATTCTGTCACCACTTCTTGCTGTGATGCGACATTTAACGAAAATGTTTGCCGTCATTTTTTTGTTTTTGTTTCAGGACTTTTCCGCACAGCCATTTTTACTTTCACTTTGTTTTCGAGTTATAAAACAAATAAGCAAACAATGTTTAGAATTTATCATTTTCTAATGGAAACGGTACCTTTTTTTTCACGTTTTCTCAATTCTTTCTCTAGTTGCTGCATTTTTTGTTTTTATTTAATAAAAGTTTATTCTTTTTTCTTTCTTTGCTTCTCTTTCATAGTTTTTTTCTCTTTATCTCCACTTCTCTTTCTTTTACACAATTACTTCCTCCATATCCATCTACAAATATTTTCGTTTCAGATATAAACACACGCACACACATACACACTAACGTACAAAAATGTTCCTATTTCACACACACACACACACACACACACACACACACACACACACACACACACACATATATATATATAAATATATATATGCAAACAAGTTTGATTAAAAAAAATCGACATGGTCTGTTGTGTTTGATTTTGGTTGTATTTTTCCAATTTTCGTATAAGGTTTTGAGTACTTTTATCTAAACCTTATCGGTTCCTTTAAATTAAATTTGTTTGGATGAATACTTGCTACCTGAATATACCTTATCTATCTATCTATCTATCTATCTATCTATCTATCTATCTATCTATCTATCTATCTGTGTGTGTGTGTGTGTGTGTGTGTGTGTGTGTGTGTATATATGTATATATATATGAATATACCTTATATATATATAAGGTATATTCATATACATATACATATATATATATGTAATATATATAAGGTATATTCATATATATATAAATATATATATTTTTTAGTGTTGTATTTAAACTGATTAAAACCGACGGCGTAGTTTTGGCAATTTCTTTTATTTTCTCCAAGTATTTTCAATTTCATCCAAGATCATCTTCAGGAGTGAATTGCTAAGACAAAATTTAATGCAATTGAGATTTGTGATATTTTTGTAAAAGCGCATGAAACGCGCTCACCTACAGACAATTTAAAAATTAACTGTTAAGAATATGTAAGGGAGGTATCTTAATTTATATATATATATGTTTTATTAATGTTTTAAAATACTCAACATGCAATTTTTAAAAAACAATTTTTTTCGAATTTGAGTTATCCAAAGCATTATTGTCAGTCGTCTTTAACGGAAGTTGTATAAAGGAAGGATTGCTGCCCAAATACACAATATATATATTCTTTGTGAATTATTTTTTGTTTGTGTGCGTACATTTATATCAGAAAAGGAAAATACCACCCTACCATACACAAAAGGTTTGGAAGGAAATTTCCATCGATATTGCCAGAAGCGTTAGTAGTGGACTTCTAAAGTGCAATTTCCTGAAAAGACTGTTTTAAGAAAAAGATTTTATATGTACCGCCATGACGTCGCATACCGTGATGAATATATGCTCCAAACGTAATGAAAACATAGTTTTGTCGTCAAAATCGTTTTGTTATTATAAAGAAGGATCAAAGTATTTTTCGTTATTTACTTAAGTTTTTTAATCCTTTTTAGAACATTCGAAATTTTGATTAAAAAGTTGTTTTTCTTGCGTCAGCGGTTGTACTTTTAGCATAGCAAATTTTCGTCTCCTTTTTTACCGTGACAGATACATTAATTTGGAAATTCTTGTGAAAATCAGACAATTGTCGGATTTTAACGAAATTTCCAGGACTTATTCACAAACGAATGTGTTTATTCGTGAAATTTTTTATTAGAAAATATTGATAAAAATAATTTTTATTTTACATGTGTTTCTCCTCCATACTTAATTTTATGAAAGCTTGAGAAATTCATCAAGATAGTTTTTTGTGACTATATTAGCTAAAAGCAGAATTTTTTGAAAAATCATCGATTTGTTTTGCAAAGTCGGGCCCAGTCTTACCCAAAATCTGTTCTGAATCGAAAAATAAAAAAAACGCAATAAAACTAAGACATTACTTAATTAGAATAGATTTTAATTGCTTTTATAAATAATATAGATTAAAGACAATATTGTTTAAAGAAAGAAAATTCGATTAAAAATGAATTTTTACAAAATTTGTTTTCATTTTTTACAATATTTTACAATTTAAAATTGAATAATTTGTAAAGTTTATATCTTTTGAAGTTCAATTTCGATGAGATAATTCTTAGGGAATATTGTTATTAAGTAAAATATATATTTACTAATCATAAATTTTAAAGTTATTACAATCTGAAGTCCCCGACTATTTTTTAAAAAAGAATTGCAATTTGTTTTTATACATGTATATAGATGCTGAATTTCTGAAGTATGGTTGTACAAACCGATAAATATATTATTAAAAGGTCACGCATTTTAAGGGTTGTCTTCCTCTTACGGGAAAAACAAAACCCTAATGAAATTTATCGTCTGCTACAACATAATTAAATATGAACACGTTCAGCGGATATACACACATTGTATAAGATTGTCTGAATAATTATTTACTAAACTTTGTTTTGGAATGAGGTTACACGTATCCACTGAAGATCGAATTAACTGCATTGTGGGAATGATTAACGCTATCTGCTTGTGAATTATTATCTCATTATGAAGTACTCACATGTCTCTCTTAGTTTCACTACATTTATGTTTGATATTAACTTTGCTGCCTTCACCCCATAGACGAAACGTTACCAGCCTACCGCTGCTTTGTTACGATTGCTATGCCAAATGTTCACATGAGCTCCATTTATATATATATATATATATATATATATATATATATATATATATATTGTTACGTGTTGATAAATGTAACAAAGAAAAAAAAAATATTTACCACAACACAGAGCTAAATCACAAACAAATATTTAATTTACTAAAACAGAACATAAAATATATACAAGATAAACAATTGTGGCCTACAAAACAGAAAAACAGAGTTACTGGCAAGTGTTACGAGGGAGAAGGAAATGGAGTCAAATATCTTTAAATCACTTTATGGCTAGTGAAGTAATCTAAGTGCTATATTTGGAAATCCACAAAGGTGTGTAAATAAATATTAATTTTTAGTTTGGTCAATGAAAATTAGTCAAAATTCTATTTACCAACTTTGTTCCATGAAATTCTCTTTTGGGTTTTGGTTGGTCGGCAACTTTTTATAGAGATTCTTTCGGCTGATATATAGTCCTTGAATCAAAAGCCGGAGTTGATACTGACAGCAATCTGTTTTCACCAACTCACAACCCTTTTCCAAAATCCCATTTTATAGGGGCTAACACCTAATTTGCATTTTTCTAGATGTTTCTCGAATCATCTAGATTTTTCTCGAATATACTAGAATGATCTAGAATCTTCCAAACATTCTATTTCTAATTTCACTATTTTACAACTACTTCATGAATGAAAACTTTTTGTAATAACAAGTAGAACTCAAAGGAATCCTTTTTTATAGAAATGCATCCTCGTAACACTTCCCCACTTCAAAGTAAAAGTTTTGAAATTTGAATGAAAAACTTTTATAAGACAATATCAGTCTATTTTTTTTTTTGTAAAGAAATAAGTCATAATATCAAATTTTTTTTTTTTTTTTTTTGTTATGCTCTAGACAAAGCATCTGCAATAACATTGTTCCTTCCTTTAATGTGATTTATAATAATATCATATTCTTGCAGGAGAAGACTCCATCTTGTAAGTCTTTGATTTTTGTTAGTCATCTTTTGAAGGAAAGTTAATGGATTATGGTCAGTATAAATCAGAACAGGATGAACAGTAACATTGAGGTAAAAGTCAAAATGTTGTAGTGCTGATAACACTGCCAAGCATTCCTTTTCAATAGTAGAATAGTTTTTTCTGGTAGGTGTTAACTTTTTGAGAAAAATCCAATGGCTCTATCGACGCCATCATCATCTTCTTGGATTAAGATACCACCCATACCGACATCACTGGCATCGATTTGCAGTTTAAATTGCTTTTGAAAAACTGGAGTTGCAAGAGCTGGGCCACCAATGAGAATCGACTTGATTCTGTTGAAAGCCTTATTACAGGTTTCACTCCACTTGTATGTATCCTCATAAATAATATATATATATATATATATATATATATATATATATATATATATATATATATATATATATATATGTTGTGGTACGATCCACCTAATTTACATAGTGGAGTACCGACCATATAAATATGGTTGGTACCGGGAAGACTGGGAAGGAAGAAGAGATCCAATCCAGAGACTCTGCCCGACTGCGACTAAGTCAACCCATTCTACAGGAACGGTCTTCCCAAGAATATACCAAAACTATCTGTAAATATTGTGTACACGTTCTTGTGTCAATACATTTTGTTTAAGTACATTTTGTGTTGTATTATTATTATTCCATGCTTTATTCAAGTTTCAACAATATATATATATGAAGAAATATAATTTTAAGGTGTGCTATAGTTATGGGATAAAGTTTTCAATATCAGAGATAGAGCGTATGTAAATATAAATATAAAAGTGAACATTGAATTTAACACTGAGGCCACAGGCTGTTTTATGCTAGACGCAATCGTCAGGCATATATATATATATATATATATATATATATATATATATATATATATATATATATATATATATATTACATTCAAAACACGTAGAAAAACGCTACACAAATGCATCCATGTTTCGATGTGTTTCAACACATCTCATCAGGGGTTAATATATGACTGATTTTTACAATTTATTAGGATTTTAATCATATCCAGTTGCTGAGATGTGTTGATATACAGTAGCGGCCATTATATACGGAGCGGAAACAAAAAGGCATAAAAATGTGTATTACTTAAAAAGTAATGCATGATTAGCAATGGAATTTTTACCGAATTAAGGTGTAATGCATAAATATTATACAAAGTTACATAAATTTACATAATAATTTTTTAATATATAAAAAAATAGTAATAATAAAAAAAACAAGTAAAAAAGTAACTAATTAAGTAAATATTAAAAAAATATCTAATCACCCACAAAATCAAGTAAATATACTATAATCAACAAATAATGAATAAATACAAAATACACTAAGGAACCGATAATAAATAATGACTCAAAAGTTAACAAATTATATAACAGCTACAAATAACCACATTCGGGTACACATTTATTTATAAACAATAGCCTTTAGAATAATTTGAGATGTAACCGTTAACGCCTACTCAATAAATGTTAAGATGATACAATAAACCAGAAATATCTGACTTCCCATAATGCAACATTGATCAATATATGTCATTAGTCGAGCCAACAGATTGCGCTTAAGCATGAAACAAACTGTCGCCTCGGTCTGTAGAATTCAGTGTCCACTTTTATATTTACATAAGCTCTATCAATGATATTGAGCACGTTCACCTATAAATATAGGGGGATACTTTATATATATATATATATATATATATATATATATATATATATATATATATGAAGAAATCTACTCTTAAGGTGTGATATATTTATGGGATAAAGTGCTCAATATCAGAGATAGAGCGTGTGTAAATGTAAATATTGAAGTCAACACTTAATGGCGACAGGCTGTTTCATGAAACAATTGTTTCTTAAATTAATACTTAAATTAATATTTCTTTGTCAAACTTTTCGGTAATGGTAAATAAAATTCATAACGTTCGTTTATAATACTTCATCAGGGAGTTTTCGTTCACACTTTCGGCCTTGTGCCACATGTAAGCTACGCTTAGAAAATCATAGGGCACTTACGTAGTGTAATGGTTAATAAGTTTGTCTTGCTGGATCAATAACAACTGGTTAGCATGGGACACCCAGTGATCCTCACTGGGTGTCCCATGCTTTCGTCACTGTGCCACATCTAAGCTAAAGCTCTTAATGAAAATTAGACATCGAAAAGTACAAGTAACTTTTTAATTAGTTTTTATTTATTTATAACTACTTGAATCTGTGCAAAGTAAATCCGATAGAAAAATAGAAAGAAAAAGATATAATTATAGCAATGAGAAGAGGCGTAATTATTTGGGTCTGTTTGTATTCTGTTCATTTCTGTCGAACTGTTTGTTTTTTTTTTTATGTCGAATGTAAAACCGAGACGTAAGTGGTCATCGATGTAGAGAATGGATAAACCTGAATTATTCTGCCATCTGCTCTTATTTTTAATTTGTTTGATTTATTTCATTTTTATTTTGATGTAGACATTGAGGCCAATAATTTCATTTATCTTCATCAGTCGAAATTTTCTTTCATGGATTTTTATCGGTCCTTTTAAGCTAAATTTTCCTCCATTCTTTAATTATATCATTTTTCAAAATGTATTCCTGCAGGCATTTATTGTGATAATTCTTTTTGTCTGTGTAATTTCTGATAGTTTATTCTTTAAGTCAAACTTTGTTTCCTATTGTCTTTTTTTTTCTATTTTTAAAATTTCTTCGGCAATATTTTGAAAACCTTTTTTAAAGTTATCATTCTAATATTTTATTTTTCTTCGGTTATTACTTTCTATCTATCTATCTATCTATCTATCTATCTATCTATCTATCTATCTATCTCAATCTGTTCACATCTATCTGTCGCAATCTGTTCACTATCTATCTATCTATCTATCTATCTATCTATCTATCTATCTATCTCAATCTGTTCACATCTATCTGTCTCAATCTGTTCACTATCTATCTATCTATCTATCTATCTATCTATCTATCTATCTATCTCAATCTGTTCACATCTATCTGTCTCAATCTGTTCACTATCTATCTATCTATCTATCTATCTATCTATCTATCTATCTATCTATCTATCTATCTATCTATCTCAATCTGTTCACATCTATCTGTCGCAATCTGTTCACTATCTATCTATCTATCTATCTATCTATCTCAATCTGTTCACATCTATCTGTCTCAATCTGTTCACTATCTATCTATCTATCTATCTATCTATCTATCTATCTATCATCTATCTATCTATCTCAATCTGTTCACATCTATCTGTCTCAATCTGTTCACTATCTATCTATCTATCTATCTATCTATCTATCTATCTATCTATCTATCAGCTATTCGTATCAAACTCATGTAATATTATTAGCCACCAGTGATCTTTAATTTTGATTCAAATGGCGGAAGTTCTGATAACACCATCTTTAGTTTACTTCATATAGCTTCTCTCAGTATTGTCAACATTATCATGTATGTCTTAACGGAGATTTCAGTAGTGAACTGAATATTGCTGCAGTGGGTGTTGGCGTCAAAACAAGGATTATAATGTCAAAGTTCATAAATATCTTTCCTTCCATACACCACTATCGATTAAAACTATACAATCTTTTAATAAAATATATGAAATTGTTTTGATTATTTTTTCTATTTAATTCTCTTTGACGTCTTTCTTTTGTCTAAAACTGGCGTGTTTTGAATTAATACGATTATATGTTTTAATGTTTTTTGTCTGTTATGCAAGGAAAGGAATCTTCTGTTATGCAAGGAAAGGAATCTTCTGTTTTGCCTGCAGGAAATCAGTTTTGTAAGCAATAAAATGAATCAGTAAAAAAAAAAATGACACAGGCAAAGTTTTTATGAATGATATAGCAATCAGTGGATTATCTTAAATGCTTAATGTACTTGCTACATCCCTTTGGTTACTAGCTTAATACAGATTCAGCTTTTAGAACTTGTTAGATCAACACAAGGTGACCACAGTTAAATTTGAAAAAGTCTATTTGGTATTTCACAGCTGTCATTGGTGTTGTTATTCATCAGATTTTTATTCAACTTTCCAGGAAAACTACAGAAAAAGAAATTGGTAATGGCGCTAAACACATACATCGCACACACACACACACACACACACACACACACACACACACACACACACACACACACATATATATATATATATATATATATATATATATATAAAAATAAAGTAATAAGTATTAAAACTGATCCATAAAAAGTGCTCAATGTATTTATTATTACAGAGCAAATAACGAATACACAATAAAATCCCAAATCTCCTCATATGGGAAATAAGCTTATTTCAACCAACGAAATTCGTCAGTCTTATTCAACCCCGGTATAAACTGAGTTCGTGTCGGAATTTAAAAGAAATAACTGTGACAGCTACAAAAAAGAAAAAAAAATTAGAAAAAACCATCGAAAAACGAATACAGAATATATCCATTTCAATGTTTCAGTCAGACGAAAGGCACGAGTCAGTGGTCAGGGAAGGGTTGAAGGTATTAGTATTAAAGGGAAGAGGTTTTATAAAATTGAATCAGGATACAAGCCTTATGACATTAAATGGATGTTATATGACGAATGGGATGTTAATTTGAAACTAAGAGAGAAATATAAATGGGCTTAAAAAACTTACAATATATAAAGTTATGTTTAAAAATACAAATCATACTTAAAAGTACTATTCCAAAGACAAGTTATATTTAAAAATAAGATATATTTAAATAAATTATAATTAAAAATAAGTCATATTTAAATAATTTATATTAAAATTAAGTAAAATTAATTTAAAAATAAGTTATATTTAATATAAAATTAATAGTTTATATTAAAGAATAAAAGAATAGAGTCCGGCAGTTATTTTAACATATTTTCTATGAAATTTCTCGGAAATTCAGGTCGGCAAATGTTGTTAATACTGTTTATTATAAACAGAGCATTTACTTAAATATTTGTATCTATGAAAATAACGTATAAACAGAAAACATATTAAAATAACTGCGGGACTTAGTCCATTTCATAATATATGATGTCATTTATTTACTTTAAGATACGCTTGGAGAAGAAATGAGCGATCAAGAGAAATCATGGTAAATTTGTAGTTTAAAAACATCAATTTGATCGTGGCAATCGGATGTTTCCTCTCTGGTTAAATGGTATAGCACGTCAGGCTATATGACGATTCCGTGTAGCATACAGGTTCGATTTCTGACGGAGGAAACATTTTCTATGAAATTTTTCGGACATTCAGGTAATACTGTTTCTTATAAACAGAGCATTTATTTAAATATTTGTATCTATCAAAATAACGTATAAACAGAAAATATATTTATATACATATATATTAATGAGAGAAAATTAGTAAGCGTTTTTGATTATAATCTAGATTTTTTATATATACTTTATCCTATATATTCTGCTACAAGGGTTTTGGTCTTGTGACATTCTTCAGGCGAAGATTGGTTATTTCCACATATTATTTAAAGGAATTAATTTTTTCTTTCTATAAGTGGACATTGAATCAACATCGAGAGGTGAGAATATTTTTAATGTTTAAAAGCAATCGTCATGGCCTAAAGATTGCTTTTAAGGATGGAACAGATTGGGTGTTGACATCAATGTCCACTTTTATATTTACATACACTCTCTCCCTGATATTTACCATTTTAAGTATTTTAAATATAGCATACCATAAAACTATATTCTATGATATAAATGCAGGGTGCGATGAGTAAATTGTCGCCACTATATATTTTTAATTTCACGCATGCGCGTTGTTTCTTTTTGATTGTATCAATTGCACAGTTGGACACTGTCTGTGAGTAAAAGAACACCATGACACAATTCACTCTGCCAGAAATTTGGAATCAGCATGCTGTTCTGTTTGGCATTTGCGCCGAAAGCTCCAATACGAACATTTCAAAGTATTTGGATGCCAATTTGAGGACAGTGCAAAGGATTCGGAAAGAGTTAGATGAGTCAAACGTTGATTACAATAGTTGTTTAGAGTGATCACTAGTGATGGCTACATTATGTCTCCATTCATCTTTCCACTGGGCCTCAGACACAACAAAGAGGCCTACATCGTGCCTTGCTACCCTCAGTCAAGAGGGTGACTGTTGGAAGACCCTATACCTGGCAACAAGAACCTGCAGCGTGTCACACAAGCAAGAAAACCTAGTCATGGGTGTCAGATAAATTTTGAGATCACATCAACACTTACACGTGGTCATATAACACTCAGACTGCAACCCCCTTGATTATTTTGTGTGGGGCGCAGTTGAGTGAGAGACCAACAAAACTCAGTGTAACGCCAAAGATAAACTGAAGGCAAGGAATATGGCAATATTCACACACTTAAACAAAGAGACCGCCCAGAAGAGATGCAGGAGATTCCGAAGTCGTCTGGAGGCCGAGGTTAAAGCCAATGCCGATTTTATTGAATAAATTTACCCTTTAGTATTTCAAGATATTTTTGTGTAATTTTGATAAATATATCTGTTAAAATGAGATATCAGTGTTGTTTTCATTTTGCATAATTTAGACGACAATTTATCCAGTGCTCTCTCTCTCTCTCCTCTCTACACACACACACACACACACACACACACACACACACACACACACACACACATATATATATATATATGAAGAAATATAATCTTAAGGTATGCTATATTTATGGGATAAAGTGCTCAGTATCAGAGATAGAGCGTGTGTAAATATAAAAGTGAACATTTCAAAAGACGCAATCCAAATGGACACTTATACAAAGAGACTAAAGGTGGCCTGACGATTGCGTCTATATGAAAACAGCCTGTTGCCTCTCAGTGTTGACTTAATGTTCACTTTATATATATATATATATATATATATATATATATATATATATATATGTATTATACGTATATTGAAGGTGTCAGTTCGTTTTGTCATGTCGTTTTTATTTATAAAATATATTATTAAGATTGTACTTTATAAGAGTGGAAAAAACAACAAAAACAAACCAAAAAACAAAAAGGTGATAAATCATCAGGAACTGACATTTGAAGATGTGATATTAAAAAAAAAACACAAACAGATGCAACGCGTGAAGACGCGATATTCGAAAAACAATAAAACCGACATAACGCAAAATACAAAACCTCTATCATAATGGTTTATGAAATGTGAAGGTACTCAAATATTGGACAATTCATATCCATATTTTTACCAGAAACAGGAAAATTGTCCAAAATATGGGGGGAACCCCCAACCAAAAAAAAAACAAACAAAAAAACTAACAAATACAATAACAGTGAATTTTTTGTTTGTATTTAACTAGACTTAAATCAATGGAAAATTGCTGCCCAAATACAACAAATAGCTTTCTATTACTTTGTTTCTGTTTCTTTCTTTCTCATTGTCTGTTTGTCTCTGTCTGTGTCTGTCTGTCTGTCTGTCTGTCCCCCCCTCTCTCTCTATATATATATATATATATATATATTCATTTTGTATTTCGACTTCACAGGTAATCGTTGTTTGCCTATCTCAAACGGATGCTCCCAAAAGACAAAACATTGACAAGTTAGTCATGTGTTACTTTTGTCGCTGTCTTTCCATCGAAATGAGTTCCTTTCGATTTGACAGTGACTAACCCAATATCTACAGTGATCGATGAATGCTAAATTTACGTTCCTGTCTGTTGAACTTTGGGTTTTGAATTGCAGAAAAAAGTCATGGTGACGGTTCTCATTCCCGCGAGAGAATAGCGAAGTCTGATTCGTTGTGGCAAAGTTTTGTCCCCACAAGCAGAGGACCCTCTTAAGAAAGATTAAAAATATTTCCTGATTTCTACCTTTTACACTGATGTGATCGAGATACTTGTTATATATATATATATATATATATATATATATATATATATATATATATATATATATATATATATATTATTATGAATAATTCATACAAAAAACAGATTAGTGAAGTTATTGATATAAATGGCGAGAATACATCTTCGCAAACAAATTTATTAAAATTACATTAACCCACGAATCTCTAGATGAATGTTATGATCCCTGTTTTTAATAAATTCAACTTGTATAAGGTCTTTTTTTGCTGGTACTTTCATCTGTTCATACAGACATCATCGGGCATGAAAATTGATTGTTTTTTTAATACATCCAGGTAATAACGGAACACGAAAAATTAGATGTGAATCGAAATATGTTTTTTAAGAAATGTGTTATTAACTGTAAGAAATTTCGGAGCGTGCGGTCGCAACGCTAAGGTTGAATTTTTGGAAAAAATCAAAGAGTGCGTTTTTTTACTAATATGGTTATTGGAAAATTCTTTTTAGTAGTTTTTTTCAGTCGATGTGGCATAAACTAAATTGTTCAATAAATAGAGCAATGTCGCAGCTATTATCCCGAACGTTGCACGTCGGATCAGTTCTTTTAAAATCAAATATGTGGTGCAGTTCAATTTATATTATATGAATCATTCATACAAAAAAACAGAGTAGTGATGTTAATGATACACTATATATATATATATATATATATATATATATATATATATATATATATATATATACACACAGTGTGCGATGGATAAATTGTCGTCTAAATTATACAAAAAAAAAATAACACTGATTTCGCGTTTTAACATATATATTTACTAAAAATATCTGAATTGGCTTCAACAAGACGACCTCGAATCTCCTGCAACCCTCTCGAAGGTTTAAGTTGTTTAAATTTGTGAATGCTACCATAATCGTTGCCTTCAGTTAAAATAAGAATGAGTCATCTGAAATTTCTGGGACATTTAATAAGGAAAGAAGGCCTAGAGAATTTAACAGTCACATGACATGGCAAAAGAAAAGTGGAAACAACAAATATCTTCTTTACCAGAATAAGGACACATACTGGCGGTAAAGGGTAAAAAAAAAAATACTTAGAGAAATAAAAGGCAGAAAGTTGTGGAGAGCCTTGAACGCATACGTCCTGAAATGACATGACAGATAAAAGAGGACGAAAAACCATTTTGAGCAGAAACCGAAGAAAACAGTCTTCAAAAAGACTAGAAATACATTCGTCGAAACTGTGAACTGTGGGTGACAATGCGTAATAATAATAATAATAATAATAATAATAATAATAATAATAATAAGACATTGTTATTAAAGAACACAAACAAAAAAGTGCCTCTTTATTGATATGGCAGTCCCTGCAGACTGCAATGTATCTTTGAAGATATTCAAAAAGCTGTCAAAATACAAGGACCTTGAAATAGAAATCTAAAAAATGTGGCATATGAGAACATCAACAATCCCTGTTGTAGTTGGAGCCCTAGGACTGTTTCGAAAAGATTCCAGTAGACTAATTGAAGGGATTCCTGGAAATCCATAACTCAGAGATACAAAAAATTGTTCTGACAATGTACAGCCCACACTTTACGAAAGGCTTTGTCTATGTAATTTTTTTCCTGTCAGTGGAAAGTGTCATGATGCCATTTCTAACCTTATGTCCCTGGGTGGGATCCGGAAAGAAATGTGTAAACGCCAGAAATCAAAGGAAATAATAATAATAATAATGCATCTGACACCAGCATCAGTTACAGCTACTACTACTACTACTACTACTACTACTACTATAACACCAATAAAATATCTCTACTTGTCGCTGTTAGCTCAAGTTATTTTTTCGATGTTCTGTGCCCCTTCAGGATGTAGTCGATCAAAACATTCCAATTTTTCCTATTCTATGTAACTCTGAACAAATTTTGTCTTTTTGTTATTTCTCTTATACTTTGTTCCGCCATCCATTTACTCAAGTAGGTTATGCTTTGTTTTCTTCTTTCCCTCTTGCCATCAATCTGTCTTGTGAGTATCAGATATTCTAAGTTTGCTTTCCTCATTATGTACCCGAGAAATTTAAACTGTCTCTTCCTCATGTTAATGATAAGTGTCCTTCTTGTTCCCATTTTCTCTAAAACTATGTCGATGCTCGCATGTTCGATCCATGCTATACGTACCATCCTTCTGTAGAAACACAATTCTGTTGAATCAAGTTTTTTTTTTCATCTTTGGGGAGATTGTTCATCAATTCCTGCCATAACAGTTTATTATGTTGTCCTTTGTTTTTAATGAGTGTTTTAAAAAAAAATTCGTTTTAAAATAAATTTCCATTTTAAAAAAATTCTTCAGCTCAAGTGATAATAACATAATAAGAGAAATAGCTTGAAGATTTAATATCATCATCATCATCATCATCATCATCATCATCATCATCATCATCATCCTCCACATCTTCACTACAAACAGAACCATGAACACCAAGACCACCAACACTACTACTACTACTACTACTACTACTACTACTACTACTACTACTAATAATAATAATAATAAAAAATTTGATAATAGCTCTCCTCACTTTTAATAATAATGGGGCCACTGCCTCCAAATGAAACAATATAATTTAACACGGTAAGTTCAATTAACTGAAGATCTAGATGAAACAATGTAATTATTCATGGAACGTGATCTTAGCTGAATATCCAGATGAAACGATGTAGTTAAATATGGAAAATGTTCTTATCTGAGTCTCCAGATATAACACTATAATTAATCAAGGTAAGTGTTCTAATCTGAACCTCCAGATGAAACGATGTAATTAAACACTGCAAATATTCTTATCTGAACATCCAGATGAGACGATGTAATTAATTACCGTAAATGTTCTTATTTGAGCATCCAGATGTAATATTGCAATGAACCAAATTAGGTGTTCTTATATGAACATCAAGATGAATGCAACATGGAAAGTGTTCTTATCTGAACCTCCAGATGGAAAAATGTAATTAAATACGGAACAGGTACCTATCTGAAAGTCCACATGAAACGATGTAATTAAACATAGTAAGTGTTCTCATATGCACACCTAGATGACACGATGTAATTAAACACACTAAATGTTCTTATCTGAACGACCAGATGAAACAATGTGTTTAAACACGGTAAGTGTTCTTATATGAACCTCCAAGCGAAACAATCTAATCAGCAACGGTAAATGAGCACCAGATGTAACATTGAAATTAATTACAACATGTGCTTTCATATGAGCCTCAAGCTGAAATGACATAATTAAATATGGTGTTCTAATGTGAGTTTCCAGATATGATATAATTAAAAACGGTAATTATTCTTAATCAAGTATAGAGATGGAATAATGTAATTACTCACGCTAATTGTTCTAATGTGAACCTCCATATGAAACTATGTAATTGATGACGGTGATTGTACTTAACATGAAGAGGTAAATAAAAGTTCTTAGTCAAGCCTCCAGATGAAACGATGTAATTAATCAATGTAATATTTCTCATATTGGCCCCCAGTTGAAGCGATGTAATTCAGCACGGTAAACGTTCTTTTCTGAACTTATAAATGAAACAATGTTTCACTAATATTTCTCATAGGGGGGGGCTCTCCAGGTGAAATTGTAATTAATTACAGTCAATGTTATTTTTTGAACCTGTAGACGAAACAATGTAATTAATTTCACTATGTGCTCTAATCTGAACCACCAAATGAAACGATGTAATTAATGACGGTATTCTTAACCTGAAGATGAAACTGTCATTTAACACGGTAAATGTTTTTATCCGAACCTCTAAATTTAGTTAATCGTGGTATGTATTCATATTTGAACCTCCAAATGAAACATTGTATTTAATCACTCTATTTTTTCTCATTAGCCTCCAGATGAAAGGATGTAATTCAACACAGTAAATGTTCTTATCTGAGCCTCCAGATGAAACAATGTAATCAATGACGGTAAATGATCATATCTGTACCTCCAGATGAAACAATATAATTAGTCACGCAATGTACACTAATCTGAGCCTCCAGATAAAACAATATAATTAGTCACGCAATGTGCACTAATCTGAACCTCCAGATGAAACAATGTACTTAATGACGGTAATTATACTTATATTAACCTGAAAATGAAACAATGTAATTAATCGTAGTATGTTTTCTTATCTGACCCTCCAGATGAAAACGATGAAATTAATAAATGTACTATCTGAAAGCTAAAGATGAAACAATATAATTAATCACCGTAAGTGTTCTCTTTTGAACCTCGGCAAATATCCTTAATCTACAAAAAAAGAAAAAAAAAAGAAAGAAAAACTATTAGAACCCGGGAATTAAGAGTTGGTATTTATCAAAATATATCTTTTTATCCGAATATTTTAAATATTTCCACTTTATTTTACTGCAATCTCTTATGTATACCTGGTCACTTGAACTCCCAGAGTTATATAACGCAAATAAAGAAATCTATTTGATCTACCAGAATACTGCACTCACCATATGCACTCAGTAAACCCCAATCTAACGCAAAACATGTACTCTCTTTACAACAATGTATGAGAGGCCTATACTCATAAGAATGTAGACTTACAACATCATCACATTGAAGCACCAGTTTCCGTACGATCACTAGGGTTAAGCAACGTCGAGCCTGGTAAGTACCTAAATGCGTGACCGCTTGGGAATACCAGGTAAGCTTGTGTGTGCGGGTGGTGAAATGCATAACGGCTCGGAATTGGTACTCAGAGAGCCGAGTTCTAATTCCAATCGGTTTCGTTATATTCACTTACGCTCAAATAACACTGGCAAATGTATGTATCCCGCACTTCTCCCCCAGCTATGGGTTAATTACTAGGACTTGTATCAGTAAATCATTATTATCTACATATAATTCTTGCAATCAGAAATGTTTTTCTGGCTTTAAATAAGAAATACAATTTCTTCATAGACATCACCATTACTGTCATCTTTTATCTGGCAATCCGAATCATTCAATCACTCATCATCTTTTTTTTACACAAACACACTGCAAAGACCACTGCTGCCGATTCAGTCGTGGCTGCCAGAGACATTATTAAAACTAACACAAATCGTGACAATTACTAACGCTATTGACTGATCGATGATAATCATTATGAATTTCAACATTAAATTATTACTGAGCCAATTACTCCACCCTCATCTTCACAGCCACGAATTCTATGCATCCTCCTCTCTCTCCTCCTTCTTCTTCTTCTTCTTCTTATTATTATTATTATTAGTAGTAGTAGTAGTAATATTAGTAGTAGTAGTAGTAGTATTAGTAGTAGTAGTATTGTGTTTTGCCTTTCCTTTGTGTAGTGAGACTTGCCACCAATTCTTAACCAGGGACTTCAAGACACAACAAGTATTTTGCATTAGCAGATGCAAACAGTTGAGTTGCCATGGAATCAGAGACAAAATTAAGGAGAGAAATCTACACAAGAGGCGAGAAGCCGCCATGAATAAGAAAAAAAAAGCCGAATAACAATAGATAATGAAATCTGTTGTCTTTCGATGCTGCATTCTACTGATTTTTTTATCTCGAGGTACGTGTATTCACTTAGTTGCCAAAACGGTTTTCAAAGATGTTTTTGTCAGCTGGGGCAGCAACATCTATCAGAAGACGTATTTTCCACATTATTATTATTATTATTATTATTATTATTATTATTATTATTATTATTATTATTTTTGCTTTATTAGTCGCGATCTAGAGCTATTAAATATATGCATTCTGTTGGCATAAATCCTGACATTAAATGATATTTAACATATACATTGATTATACTATTTTTTCTATATTGAGTAAATGTGCAATTCTACGAGGGGCTATATTTTTTACTCTCTTTTGAAGAGAGGCTGTCGGGGATCTTGTTAAAGTCCTTGTTTATACCTTTTTGATCATAACCAGTACTCCAGTTATTATAGGTACAACTATAATTTTAAGGTGCTTCATGTTCTCAATTTCAATTTAAAGATACTTATATTTTCTTATTTTGTCAAATTTTCCAACTGATATATATATATATATATATATATATATATATATATATATATATATATATATATATATATATATATGAAGAAATATACTTAAGGTGTGGTATATTTATGGGATAAAGTGCTCAATATCAGAGATAGAGCGTGTGTAAATATAAAGTGAACATTGAAGTCAACACTCAGAGGCGAGAGGCTGTTTCATGCTAGATGTAATCGTCTGGCCACGAGCGCTATTTTTTTTTTTCTGGCTATTTATATATACGGATCACTGGTACACGAAACAGCCTGTCGCCTCTAAGTGTTGACTTCAATGTTCAATTATATATATATATATATATATATATATATATATATATATATATATATATATATATATTTGATGACACTGGTATATATATGAGTTGACATTTATTGCATGTAGTCTTTAATCACTATGTCTGCTCTATTAGCTTTTATACGCCTGCCATTTTGAATGATAAAGTTCCAAAGAATTGTGACCTCATAATTTTCCTTGACTGATTCAGGTCAAGCTTGATGATATTTTTGGTATATTACGTACTGTTATACTAATATACGAACCATTGCCACTACCATTCAAACCATTACCTAATCTTAAATCTATATTGAATTCTGTATTCCTTCGCAAGAATGAATATCCAAACAGAGGTCAATAGTCTAAATGTGTTGTTCATATAATCTACATATTGAGTCTGCGCCATTTTTTTATACGTGCCTTGTATTATACTTGTCTTTGTCCCTCTGTATTTATTATAAATTTCCCTATGTCTATATTTAGCCACTGATGGGTTTTATATGTGTCTCAAATATGTTAGCAACAACGAAGTTTTGGAGAAAATGGAAACAAAACGGCAACTTATACTTAACATCAGGAAGAGAAGGTTAAGGTTTCTGGGGTACATAATTAGGAAGAAGGGTTTGGAAAATCTGATACTCACGGGGCAGATAGAGGGCAAGAAGGACAGAGGAAAACAATGCTTAACATACTTGATGAGCTTGAGTAAATGGATGGCGGAACAGGAGAAATAGCAGAAAGACAAAGTTTATTAAGATCTACACGGTACAGGAAGTTGTGGAGAGCCATGATAACTTACACTCTGAGGGGACACAGCACAGAGAAGAAAATACCTGCATCGTTACTTCTGAGTCCCTATCCACCATATAAAGGTTTTTTCCAGGTGTTTTTTATATTGTTTAAGTCTTGTGTTTTAGCATCCTTTTTTTTTTTTATAATTTTAGCATGTGTTGGTTGCGTATTTCGTTTCCTTTCCAATGATATTGAATTCCTGAAGGAATGTTTTGTTTTCTTTATAAGCGGAGTATTTTTTTAACTTTTCTCATGACAGTTAAATCGTTGTAGTTCTCAGTTATTTATTATTAAAACACCACGGCCACTATCATCATCCATCAATTTAGCAATTAAAATCACAACTATCATTTAGCAGAATCTCCCCACTTTTCATTATTATCGCTTCCTTTTTCTTTTTTGCCGTGTTCTTTCAGAACGCTGGCGATCATATCCTTTTTATGCTTCGTGGCCCTTAGAAGCGTTTATCTTTTTGCCAAGCGCCCATCTCCCTGTTTCACAATCTATTCGCACAAGCTTGACGGGTACGTGGCCAACTGCCTTCCTCTATCTCTCTTACCTCAATAAGCCATGTGAGGGTTATGTTTTCCAAGCACCCTTTCCTCATTATGCATCGAAGAAATTTCAGCTGTCTCTTTTTGTTTATTTTTCTGATTCTAACCCGCTATCTCACAGGAAAGTGACTCGCGGCGCCTTCTCGGGTCAGCGTTCTTAGGTAACATGAAGTAGAATCCATTGCTAGGTCAGCTGCTAAGAAAGTTGGTTCACTCTGCCGGGCAAGACAATTATTCTCTCCGCAAACTGTCTTGCATATCTATAAGTCTACCCTTAGTCTATGCTTAGAATATTGTTGCTATATAAGGTCCGGTGCCCCTGTTATTTCCCTGGAGCTCCTTGATAGGACTCAAAGAAGAATCAGCAATATTATTGACCATGTTCTGGCCGCTCAATTCCAGCCCACCGCTGTAAGGTTGCCTCTCTATGCCTTTTTAAAAATGCTTTCATGTTAACTGTTCAGAGGAGCTCTTCGCTATGGTACCTAGACAGGATAAATTTAAGCGCAATACTAGACTATCTGCGAGATCTCATCAATTTACAGTTGAGCAAGATAGATGTAGCCGTAACTTCTACGCTAACAGTTTGTTTTCTCGCACTTCTCGTTTGTGGAACTCACTTCAGGCCCCATAATTTCCAGCCAACTGTAATCTGCAAAAATTTAAATGCAATGTCAATCGCTATCTATTGTCATGACTCCTTATTACTAATGTTTCTAATCCTAATTCCTTCAGACACTTTAACCCCTAGCGTCTTAGTAGCTTTACTGCCTTGCTTGGGGTGATACCGATTAAAAAAAAAGTATAAGCGTTCTTTTAGTTTACATTTTTTTACAACTTCCCCTTGCTTACTATCTCCGCAATTCTCAGCATCCTTCTGTATAACTTCATTTCTGCTGCCTCCAGTTTCCTCTGTATCTGTGGGGTGATTGTGCAACATTCATAGTTTGTTTCTATCGAAATTATCCTGTTTCTTAATACTTTGCTTAACTTTTAGAAGGCATATTTTACTACTCCGATACGCCTTCGAATTTCGGTGTCGTATTTTTCCATCCTCTGTTATAACACCAGATCTCTTTTACCCTCACATATACTTAAGTAATATTTCACATTTTCGTCGTCATTACCTCTTTTCGAAACATTGTTTCGGCCAATAGTTAGTACCATTCTCACCATTCCAGTGGAATTCTAACTATTGATGTACTCTAACTTTCTAATCATTACTGATACAATTCTCACCATGCAAATGTTGCGAATTCTATTTCCATCACATCTAGCATTATTCGCATAATTTCTGTTACCATTATAACCACGGTAGGACTATTCTCACATATGTCATGGTACAACCAGTACCATTCTCACATCTCTCATGCTAGAACCAATACCATTCTCACATCTCTCATGCTAGAACCAGTACCATTCTCAGATCTCTCATGCTACAATCAGTACCATTCTCACATCTCTCATGCTACAACCAGTACCATTCTCATGTCTCTCATGCTACGATCAGTACCATTCTCACGTCTCTCATGCTATAAACAATACCATTCTCATATTCCTCATGCTACGACCAGTACCATTCTCACGTCTCTCATGCTATAACCAGTACCATTCTCATGGTGACCAGTATCACCTCAGCCATTGTCACTAACATTCTAACCATTGATTGTACAATTCTTACCACTGTCTGTATAATTCTCACCAATGCCATAAAAATTTAAACCACTGCTGTCAGTACGATTCTGTCTTTTGGCAGAACTCTAACTAAAACCCTACAGTCTAATCTTGACGCAAACTATAGTCGGATGCAGAAAGTTATACTTAACATCTCCTGGAAGCAACCAACTAAATTACAGCTCTATGAGCACATCCCTGATATTTTTACAGTCTTATGTGAACGCAGAATGCATTTGCAGGACATTGCTGGCGAGCACAACAAGAACTCGCAAATGATCTATTGTTCTGGACACCTAGCCATGGAGCAAGATGGGTTGGTAGCCCAGCAACCATCTA